GTCTCGAAGGCGAAAGAACCAAGAAAGTGGTCAATGGCATCAGAATGCAGAAGGCAACGAGAAACCACTGCATTAAAGGTCCCTGATGACATCTCTAGTATAAATTATAATGGCTAACACTATTTGCGCAAGAGACATTATTGATTATGGTAATCGGAGACCAAAATCCGGTAGGGGAGGACAACGATCGAAACGCAAGGCCTCCTCGATCGTCAATATGCGAAACCCTTCCACAGAAAACAAAAAAAAAAAACAAAAAAATATACTCAACCCTCTCAGATAAAAATAGTTACCTGGAATGTAAGAAGTATGTATCAGCCTGGAAAATTACATAATGTTATTAAAGAGAAAGAGATGATATACTTGGTTTAGCGATGTACAATGGATAAGCAAATGGATATATCAATGGAGATATAAAAAAATTACCACAATATTTATTACACTGGAGGAGACAAAAGTGATCATCGATACGGAGTAGCTTTCATAATAAGCAACACTATTAGAAAATCAGTGCTAGGTGTGATTCAAATCTCAGAAATAATAATGCTAAATATTCAAGCACAGAACTGTCATATTAATATGATCCAAGTCTGTGCTCCCACAGCTGATAAGACCGAAGATGAGATCGAAAAGTTTTATTGACAATACAATCAAATTAACAAAATCTAGAGATATTATTTACATTTTAGAATACTTTATTGCAAAAGTTGGAGTAGGTACAGTTAAAAATATAGTTGGACAGTTCGGATAAGGAACTAGAAACGAGAGAGGAGAAAGACTCATAGAATTCTGCCAAGAAAAGAATATGGTAATTGCCAATACTTGGTTTCAGCTTTTTAAGAGAAGACTATATACATGGACGTCTCCTTCACATACAGAAAACCACATTGTCAGAAAACAGATAAACATTGTCAGATAGATAGACTATATACTCATAAATAGCAGATATAAAAACTCTAAAACCTCCGTTAAAACTTATCCTGGAGCAGATGTTAACTCAGACCACAATCTGTTAGTTGCTGGCGTGAAAATAAAATTAAAAAGAATTGAACTCAGAAAGTAACAACCAAAAATTAATGTAAGAATGCTAAAAAACGAAGAAATAAAAAAGAATTAAAAAATAATGTAAATGTTAATATGCAAAAAACACTAACTGACAACAAACAAATTATGTATAATATAAAAAACACATTACTAAAACCAGATCAAGAAAGTTTGATACACATAGGTTAGAGGCTAAAAAATAGTGGATGACAGAAGAAATACTATTACAGATAAAAGAAAAATGAAATATAAAGGAAAAGATCTACAGAAGTTTAAAGAAATACAATGAATATTTAAGGAAAAAATTAAAAGTTAAGGAAATCTTTTTAATAAAACAATGTAAAGAGATAGAAGAAGCAGAAACAAAATATGATATGAGAATTATGCACAAAAAAAATAAGAGAAGTGACTAGAATGGGTCGAAATAGACAGCAAGTATACATAAAGACAAAAAAGGAGTACTACTAATAGATTTACCAGAGAAATTAAGACGATGGAAGGAGTACGTTAGAAAAATTTTCCAAGATGAAAAAGGTGAAGTGTAGAAAATCCAAGAATTAATTCCTATAGAGAGACAGAAGATCACGATAGATGAAATCAAATATGCTATCAAAAACTCTAAAGACAATAAGACAAGGATTAGATGAAATACTAGTAGAACTGTTAAAACTAGTGAAAGAGGATAACTTGGAAGTATTGGCAGATTTATTCAACACGGTGTACGATACGGGAATAATACCACAAGAGTGGCTGAAGTCAGCATTTATAACCATCCCTAAAAACAAGCAGCAAAAGAGTGCTCTGATTATCGAACACTGAGCTTCATGAGTCATACTTTAAAAGTACTGCTGAAAGTAATACATAAGAGAATATACGAAAGGCTAGAGAAGGATATTAGCGAGACGTAGTTCGGGTTCCGAAATGGAATGAGTACTTGAGAAGCACTATTTGCCATCAACATATTGATTCAGCGATGTCGGGATGCAAACGTTGATCTATACTTGTGCTTTGACTACGAAAAAGCTATAAAGTAAGAAAAACTAATATCAATACGTATGAATAAGCGCATTGACAGTAAAATCATGAATATAGTGCAAACATTATATCGGAACCAAAGTGCCATAGTTCAAATTTATGGGCAACATTCAGAAGAAATTATGATCTGTAGAGCAGTTAGACAGGGATGTGTTATATCGCCACTTATAATCGCAATCTGAAATTTTTTTCCAAAACACGTTCAATAATATCAAAGTGGGAGTGGCCGTTAACGACAAATTAATTAATAAATGAAATGAGGTTGAATGCTCGAATAAATGAACTTTGAAAATAAGGCTATTATCGAGCACAAGTTAATTAAATCTAGCCCAAGTACTTTCGCTTAAAATAGCATCTTCAGGGGCATTTCGTCAAAATAAGAACTATCCGGCAAGCGTAGGATGTGGAAACATTAAAAATAACATAAATTGTACAAAACACTACACTAAAACGAGGACAAACAGTTTAAAATTACTTCTACGCTACATTCTCTGTCAGTTTCTGGATCCCTCCAGAAACTGACAGAGAATGTAGCGTAGAAGTAATTTTAAACTGTTTGTCCTCGTTTTAGTGTAGTGTTTTGTACAATTTATGTTATTTTTAATGTTTCCACATCCTACGCTTGCCGGATAGTTCTTATTTTGACGAAATGCCCCTGAAGATGCTATTTTAAGCGAAAGTACTTGGGCTAGATTTAATTAACTTGTGCTTGATAATAGCCTTATTTTCAAAGACAAATTAATTAACAGCGTATGAGATGCAGACGACACTGTGATTATAGTAACGAGTATAGAAGATCTACACCATCTTATCAAAAGCTTAAGTATGAATAGTGCTGGAATGGGAATTACTATAAACGCTAAAAAAAAAACGAAGTACATGTTAATTACAAAAAGACCACAACATATACATCACCTATTGACAATCAATGGTAACGTGATAGAACAAGTAGAAAAATATCAGTACTTGGGAACTTTAATCAATGAAACCAATGATCATACTGCAGAAATAAACAGGCGAATAGAGATTGCCAGACCAGCATTTATTTATGAAGCTACTCCTAAAGTGCAAAAATTTAAATTTGGAGATCAGACTAAGTACCATTCGCTGTTATATATTTTCAATATTATTATATGGAGCTGAGACTTGGTCATTAAAAAAATACAAATCATGAATGTGTTGCTTGTGTGAGTCCATTTCAAATAGGTAAAGAAATAATAAATAAGACTTACACTCACAATCAATTTAATTTAACTATCCAGATGACCGGTTTCGCTTTCTACAATATGCAAAGCATCTTCAGGTCTCGATACAAAGTTAAATAAATGCTGAAATAATAATAAACCCATATTAGGGTGTTGTCTAATAAAGATAAACAAAGTAGATGTTATAAATTACAGTAATTACTCAAATATTACATTCTGTGGTTTTTCAAAATGAATAAAAAGGAATAAAAGGTATAAAAAGTTTTAACAGACAAGGTAAGACCCACAAATTGTTATAAAATAGTCTATTAGATTGTAATAAATTAATAAATGAGCAAATAAATAAAACATTACTTACATGCCGGTACTCTATTAATTGATGGATTGTAGAACATGGTTGAAACTATCATCTATTGTTGAATGGAGAACTTAAGTCTGCTATTGTAGTTGTTTGACAATAAACGGGAAGTTCTTGAGGAGATAGATTTGATCAAATGAAGTAGAGATAGGTGTAATGTGATTGTTTGTTAGATGAAAGTGATGTTCTATACCATTGTATTATTTAAAAGTTATTTATACTTATTCAGGAGATATATTTATGAAATGTGTGTTATTTATTGAGTATTTTTTTATTAAGGTGACAGTTTTATGACAATGAATAAGATTAGATGTACAAATTGTGTGGGTGTGCAATTCTTTCAACTTATTCAAAATTATAAAATTTCTTTGATAAAGTTCTATTGGCAAAATGGTAAATTATTGCAAAGTCAAGTATATAAAATTATTCAAGTTAAAACTATTAAGGACAATTTAAACACACAGAAACAGAAAACACTTAGAAGGGACGAAACAAACATTAAATTTAAAAAGGGAGAAGGACTTTTATGCACTACATCTCAGTCATTCAATACTGTAAGTTAAGTTATCCAGTTTTATGAACTATGCTGATATTAATGAATGTTTCTAAATTGTTTTAATTAAGATATCAAAAGTAAATTGATGTGTTTAATATTGGCATACTTTAACAATCTTTTATTAATTAAATTTAAATGTAACAATACGAATTTTCAATTATTGGTATTTTTACATTTACATTTAAATAATTACAAATAAAGAGGTACTGGAGAGGGTTGGTAAAGAAACGGAACTAATCATCACTATCTGCAAACTAGAAAGCTGGAATACCTAGCCCACGTGATGAGGGGATCAAAATATGAAATTTTGAGACTCATAATACAGGGAAAGATTCAAGAAAGAAGATCTGTTGGCCGAAGGCAGAACTTATGGTTGAAGAATTTACGTGATTGGTATCAATGCAGATCGATTGATTTGTTTAGAACCTCCGTAGGTATACGGCACTCCAAGAAGAAGAGTCCGATTTAAACGATAATATAAGAGTATAATTTACGTAAATAACAATTATAACCGACCAAAACAGCTTATTACATATATAATAATATATCAAAGTTTATTTTTTCTCATAAACAGCTATAAATAGTATGCTCTTATTGATTGTCCCCAGCAATTATCCTCAATGTGATTCGCTCAAAATTACCATAAATAAAACATTGCAAAATTATACTGGGATGGAATATTGCAAGCTGTCGTTATATTTTTAAACGACCTACCGTTTATTGCGACTACATCGGAATTGGGAGTTTATTAGCGGTTTAGTAGAAATCGTTCGAATGAATTGAACCATTCAGTGCTCTCTAATTTCCATACATTTAAATTTATAATAAAAAACTGCTTTAAGTATATTTAAATCAAAGTTTTAATTTCTAACTACAAGTATAACTCATTTGTGTACATGCGAAATACCTGAATTTTAAACGTTATGACAACAGCGTAAAAAACAAGTTGTTGGATCCCAATATTTAGTGGCACAGACTTGTTGATGTTTACCATCCCGATGTGAGGTCGCGACAACGGTTCAACGTATAATTTCTTCTCAAATTAGTGGTACTGCATGTGAGCGGTTTCGATTTAACATGGATGAAGAGTGTAGTGAGGTGATATTCGGACCCAGTCGTGATTCTTTGTACGTAGTGATACCACTGACAGTATTATATGTTATAATTTTCTTGACCGGTTCCACCGGCAATGTGAGTACCTGTATAGTGATAGCCAAAAACAAATCCATGCATACAGCTACTAACTATTATTTGTTTAGTTTAGCCATATCTGACCAGTTGCTGTTGTTAACGGGAGTGCCTCAGGAGATATACTTTTTCTGGTCACGGTATCCATATATTTTCGGCAGTAACTTCTGTTTTGTGCGAGGGTTGTTCAACGAAACATCCAGTAATGCTACAGTGTTAATTATCACAGCGTTTACCGTGGAAAGATACCTAGCAATATGCCACCCCTTTCTATCTCACACGATGTCCAATCTCTCTCGGGCAATCAAACTGATTATTATTATATGGTTAGTGTCTATTTCCTTAGCGATACCTCAAGTTCTTCCCTTAAAAGTGGTAGGCAAGTGTCCAATGTGCGTTATGCAGGATCCTATTATTAACTACAATTTTGAACTGTCCACTTTGTTGTTCTTTGTTATGCCAATGACAGTCATCACAGTGCTTTATATTTTGATAGGAGTGAAGCTGAAGGCGTCAAATACAGTGGAAAAAAGGATTAGCGTCAACAATAGGGTCATTAAGAGATCTTCTCGAAAAGTAATTAAGATGTTAGGTAAGCAAATAAACTACTGAACTAGCAGTCATTAAGACATGCATTACGATGCAATTTGGTCGTATTTACACTGTTTTAATATTTTCTTTTGATGTTTTTAAATTCATTTGAACAGACAACTGTATTATTATTCTATAATTGTAAGCATTTAGATAAATTACATTACAAAATTTATCCCAACTTTATTCACTATCATTGATCACATTTTTAATGCAAATTTCTGTAATTATGGACCAAAATAGAACTTCAAAACAGCTGTGTTGGTTATAATAAATTTATTCTTCTTTAAGTGCCGTTTTCCAATCGAAGGTTATTATAATTACTATCTTTACTCTACATAGTGCTGCTCTGAAGAGTTCTATAGCAGTCCCTTAAATTCTTCAATCATGACACTCTCCTTCCCATATTCGTTTTCTCTTATATTTCTCTGTAATATCAGCCTTAGCAGTTCATATCGCTGTCCCCTCATTACGTCTCCCAGATATTGTTACTTTCTTATTTTTATTGTGTCTATTATTTTGCATTCTTTGTCCATTTCTCGCAATTTTTCCATGTTAGTTTTCTTCTGTGTCCATGCTATTCTAAGTATCCGTTTGTAGCATCACATTTCAAAGGACTGTTTATTTATGTGTTCTTCATTCAATGTCCAGCTTTCAAGTTCGTATTGCAGTATCGAAAACACGTAGCATCTCAGTGCTCTTACTCTCAGTTCCAGTCTTTGTTGCAGAGAATTGTTTTCACTTTTACAAGCGCATTTCTTGCTCTTTCTATCCTGGCTCTTATTTCGACTGTTTGATTATTATTTTCTAAAATCCAGGTTCCTAGGTATTTGTATTTATCAACCCTTTCTATCGATACATTTCCTAAATGAATGTTTTTCTGAAACTATTTTCTTGTGGCATTTTAAATTAATTACTATTTAAACTGGGAATAATCCAAATTAAAGATAAAAATACGTTTATTGACGTTTCAATTTCCACTTCGGAAATCGTTCTCAAAATACAAACAGTAAATTTACTGTAAATTTACTTAACAGTAAATTTACTGTTTGTATTTTGAGAACGATTTCCGAAGTGGAAATTGAAACGTCAATAAACGTATTTTTATCTTTAATTGTGGCTTATTCCCAGTTAAATAGTAATTAAATGAATGTTTGTTGGTATATTTGGTTTCTTTGTTGTTATCATGTATTTGGTCTTTTTTCTATTCATTTTTAGTCCATATTTTTCACAAAAACTGTTTTGTTTAGCAATAATTGGAGTTGTTCAGCAGAGCTTGCCATATTCACGGTGTCATCTGCATATTTTATATTGTTAATAGATTTTCCATTAATTATTATTCCTTCACTTTGAGATATTATTGCTTCTTCAAAAATGACTCTACTATATACATTAAATAGTAATTAGGACATAATACATCCCTGCCTACGTCTTCTCCTGATTTCAATTTCTGGACTGGGTTCGTAATCCATTACGATTTGTGCTCTTTGATTTCAGTAGAGGTTTGTTATTATTCGTAAGTCCTTATGGTCTATGCATTTGGTTTTTTGTTTTTAGAATTTGGACTAATTGTTCATGTTTTACTTTATCAAATGCTTTTTCAAAATCAACGTAACAAACATGCACATCAACATTTATATTCATGCATCTTTAAGCTAACACATTAAAAGCAAATAACGCTTCTCTGTTTCCTAGTTCGTTTCTGAACCCAAACTGACTATCATTTATTCCTTCTTCCAGTTTTTATTTATACGACTTATAAAATGTGAAGGCTCTATAATGTTTTTATTAGTCCTAATTTATTGTCTTTATTCTAATTTATTAAAACTCACGATAATTTATCAAAAGTCTTTATTTTATACTAATTTATTTTACACTTAATAATTTCTTTGCGTTCGATACAATTTAACGCGAGATCGAGATCTTCTTGTTGACTGACTGCTCAATGAAAATCATCCGTTATTTATTTGAAACCAGCTGGTAAACAGAATGTTGTAGAACATACGATGCCATTCTCGACGTAGACACAGTGGCAATGATCTAAAAACTGGTATCTGTGCGTTTCCAGAAAGCTCTTATTTGTCGTTTTATAGCGAAGGGGACCCAACGGGTGTCAGGTAGATTTTGACCTAGAAATTACAGTACATAAAATACATAAAATATTTACAGTTCTATACGCCATAACATTTAAAATCGTAACAGTTCTTATGATGCGCCAGGTGCGTTTCATAAGCGTATGAGTATTAATACACTTTGTGTTCCCGCTCATACCTCTGGGTGTTGACTACAGGCTGTATGGCTCGTCCAGCATGCTATAGCAAGGAGGGTACACGCCATTTTTTTTAACGTAGACACCCAACTCCATGGCCTGACCATACTGGTCAGTATTTTGTGTGCATACTGTTGATTGCTCTAACCAGATACATTGTCTATACTCTTTGTCGAAGACTCTTTAAAAATCTTTAAATGCAATGTCACATTGTCACTCATAGACCTTTCTTTTGTGTGTGTTGTCGAGAAATTAATTAATTTTTTATTCTTTCTAATTTAGTGCCCTTGATATTATTTATAAAAATAATTGGAAAAATATTTTCAAATATTTTGCCTTTCTTTTATATTATTTTTTAAAAATTGCGACAAAATTTGAGAGCATTTGCAAAGAGCGCCTGGGAAAAAGATCGTGGGAATTGCACCTTATTCTTAAGTAACTCATCATCAACAGTTTAGGTATTACATTTTAAATAATTGTATAGTAATTAATCATTTGCCGTAATTATTTAAAAACAGTTCTCTTTTATAGAAGCATCCATTATCTACTGAGTAATTTTTAATTGTCAGGTAATTAGCAAGTTACACTTTAAACTTAATAGAAAATAATTATTTACAAAACAGGTTTAGTGAAATTTTACAATAGAATTTTTATAAAGGATCAAAGCCTGTTTTTTTGCTGTATTTTTGTCGTAATTGCTGGTTTTCCATACATCCTCATAATTTCAACATTCGTTCGTCTTCTTTAAATATTCTTTGCCGTCTGGATTCCTCCGAAGATTTCTACTCCGGAGAGTAGAGATTCCCCTACTTTCTTTTCTTCCTGCTGGTTTATAATCCACGTTTCATTAGCATACATCACTGTGGGTCTGATTACTGTCTCATAGACTCGCAGTTTAGCTGTTCTTGACACATTTTTTGCTTTCAGGAATGAATTTAGTGACGCTATCGCTCTGCTTCCCTTCATTAATCTGTTATCTATCTCATTTTCTTCTTTTCCCCTGTTCGTTATAATTACTACTAACTATCAGATTCTGACATTTTAAAACCGTAGACAGTCTCTGCTTCTTTCATTTTGATATATTTGTTATGTCTTCTCTCATTTCCATATATTGCGTTTTTTTTTTCTATGATAATTATAAATTTTATAGCCGAATTTAAATTGCCGTGTATGAAGACATATATTTAATGAAATTTGTTGCAATATCTGTGAAATCTATTTCATAAAAATGTTGGACAAAAACACATATTCAATCGATGTCTAAATTACTACATGTATTACAAAACTAGACATTTCCACGTGAAACTGCTAGTGAAATGGATGTATATTATTAAAAATATACTTATTAACCATTAATTATTATAAATTATGATTTGATACAATGAAGATAATAACGGAAACTTCCTATTATTGACTGAGATGATAAATGACCAGCAATTATTGGTAAATGGTTTAACGTTGAAATTAACTTTGTACAATTTTACAATATTTTTAAAAACGAGTAACTTTTGGCTGTTAAAATTTTTCTTAAAAATTATATTTTAACACAAGCGTTGATGAGAATTCATAAACTAGAGCCGGTCTTCTCCAGGTTATCACGTTTAGTATTGTCCAAAATCAGTCTTGGTCTTGCAGTCTTGGTCTTGCAGTCTTGGTCTTTTTCTTGAGTTTTCGCAACACCAAAGCCAAGGCCAAGACCGCCTAATTTTAGCAAGAACAAGGTCAAGCCTTCGAGACTCTTGCGTCTTGCAGTTACGACTGAGTGTTGTTTTAGCGAGTATAGTAGTTCGGTTATATGTTTAGAGACAGTACCATAAACAGTGCCGGATTAACACTTTTGCCGCCCATGGGCCAGAGGTCTGCCTGCCGCCCTAGCGGGGGTGCAACACCGGGGGGGGGGGGTCCGGGCCCCCCCCCCCCGAAAAAAATTGAAATTTAGAGGCAAAATAACGCATTTTGGGACATTTTCCAGCGCTCAACTGTCTCTTGATATTGTAATGGTTTTAGTACCTCTCATGATGAAAACAAGAAACTATGTCCTAAAATTGCGTTTTATTAATTAAAATAAACTATTTGACAAAACTCCGTTAATTACGAAACCATTTTCTACAACCGTGATATTCCATTACTTAAGATTACAATAATAGTAAATAAAATCGTTGTTGATATTATTTTGTGAAACATCATGCAGCTCGTAATTCCCAAACTCAACAATTCTTTTATAGTTTTATGACTATTTTGGCTGAGAATGATTGATTTGGAGTGAAGTGAAAATTCGGCTTCGTTACTCGGCGACGGCTCACCTGTGAATGTGCCCGCAGGCTTTGAGCCATAATCGGTCATTGCTGTCGATTTATGGGCAAAAACAGGACAGTTAGGAAGGGGCTAAAATTAGTAAAAGGTGTACAGAGTAAGACTGCAAAATAAATGATAATTTCTGTATTGAATATAGGATAATAACAAATATATACAACATCGAAATATAACTGTTCAGAGCATACAAATCACATATCCAAACAAATAACTTACTCACTAAATTAGCTTTGTTAAAGTAAATATAACTTAAAACTTCTTCTTTCTTGCACGTGCATTGGAAAAATCATCAACAACTGCACTGAAATCGAGTTTTGTTGTCAGTTCATGTTCTATGGCTAAAACAGCCAGGCTGACGAGTCGTTCTTGAGTCACTGTTGAACGCAGATAGTTTTTTACTCTTTTCAAGGTCGAAAACG